CCTCTGGATCAAGGCGTTTTCTTTCTGCGCATGGTGAGTCCTCCCAGGCCTTGTCCACATGCACTGGTGCAAGTGAACACCTCCCTGTCCCAGCATGGAGCGGAGGGGAGCGGCTGAGCTGTGAACGGGAGAGTCCGTTTGCTTCCGGACAAATCTCTGCTGGATTCAGGGAAATCTCCAAGGTCGGTCTCTGCTTCTCACTGTAAGACGGCTCTTCCTCATTGTTAGTGTGTTGTTGCTGCTCCTGCTGTCTGGGTTTGGTTTTTTTCCAGGCTGTCTGGGGCAGCAGCTCCTTTCCCTCAAGGAATTTTTAGGGAGGATGTTTCCAAAGGCTGTGCAGAGGCGGCTGATCTCTGCTGGCTCAGCTCCTATCAGGAGGAGAGGCTGCTGCAGGTATGGCCCCACAGCAGAACCCTGCTAATCCAGCTGCCTCTGCCGCCTAATGACTTTCTCAAGGTATTTTTAGCTGCACGTAAACTTCAGGAAGAGCTTTTTTGCAGCCGAGCACACTGTGGCCTTTGTTCAGGCTTCTGGGAACGGGGAGGTAATGGCTCAGCGTGGCTGCGGTAGCCTGCACAGCCCTTTCCCCTCGCAGTGCATTTGCAAGCTGCTCAGGAGCATTGCAGCCTGCTGCGTGGGGCTGTCAGAGACCCCTCGAGCGATGCTGAACTCCTGCTGACCCGCTCTCGCCCGTGCCCAGTCTGTGGCTTGCTTTGCCAAAGCTTCTGGTTTGGGAGCAGCTCAGAAAGGAGCTTTCAGAAAGGGCTGCTCCTCCCGGGGATCTGCATGTCGTGGTGGCCGTCAGAGGAAGCCTCACCTCTGCCTGCTGCCAACAACCGTCTCTCTTGCAAAGACAACTTGCAGGTGGAATTAGCGCATTAAATGTCCTGGATGTTTACTTGAAGCTCTCGGGGCTGGAGGGACGGGCAGTGAGTGGCTTCCCACGGGCTTTGTGTCCCCCTTGCTGCTTGGATGCTGGTGTCGTACAGCGAATGCGGCCGGGCAGGCAGAACGGCTCTGCGTGCTGTGCACGATGCCACGTCTCCCCTGCCGTGGTCTAGGGATCTCTCCGAGGCACGTGCGTGGCTAGCGCGGCACGTGTTGCCCTGTCCTGCCGTTGTGGTGGCCGCGTGGGACAGGTGAGCACTGCGAGTGTCCCTCGCAGGGTGCCACGGTAGCTTTTGCTGCTGTTTTCCATGAGAGGTACCTGGGTGTTGGGGCAAGGTCAGCCTGTGCCCTGCCCGTGCTCACAGGGTGGCTGGGACGAGGGAAATCGTAGATTTTTCCCCATTATGTCAAGACTAGTCGGCATTTGGAAATGGAAGCTCAGCCTTTAGGAGCAGAGTTGCCAGCTGGAGAGTTTAGAAGTAGTTGCCACCTCCCTTCCCACTCTAAGGGGGGACTCAGCATGGGACTTGCCAACTTTCCACCTGCCAAAGGCACCAGATGCGTGGCAAAAGACTGAAATGGGTTTGTAATCCCAGGCAAGTCGGACACGGAGCCTCCACTGTGTCTGTGTTGGAGGAGCTCCTGCCAGGAGGGGCAAGTGGGAGCCCAGGGAGCAACTCGGTGTGGGGTTACTGCTAAATATCTGCCTCTCCCGCTCGCAGCGGGAGGCAGGCAGGACCTGTGGTCTCTGCTGCCTTGTCGCTCCACCAAGCGCTCTGGATCATGTCCGTGCTTTCACAGGAGTCTCCTGTCTTGGTCAGGCTCATCTGTTTTTCTTCATCTATTTTTATTAACTTTTGTGTCTGAAACAGCTCTGGCACTGAACTCGCAGACCCCTTCCACTTCCCTTGCCGCTGGGCTCCTTGAAATGCCTGCCGAGGGCTCCTACAGCTGGGGTTGGGGGTCCCCAGCCGGATGCGGGGCTGAGGGTGCTGCTGCCCCTCGTAGCCCCTCCACCAGTGACCTGCCCAAACAGCCCCTGTGCTTGCAGTAAGGGCAAGAAATGCAGGCATTCAGCTGGAAGTCCATTCAGCTGCTTGGTCCAGCCTGCTGGAAAATTCCCTCTATGTGGAGGGTCTCAGGGCTGGCATAAAAATGCTTCTGTCTCTTAGGGGGAAGGAGAGTGTGGGCTGGAAGGAGCAGGTCTGAAAACAAGAACTACTGCTAATTGCCTGCAGCATCTCTCCGCTTAATGGAGCGGAGAATAGAGCTCGCTGCATTTCCCTGGCTCCCTGCTCGGCGCAGGGCTGAGGTCTGGGCTCTCGTGGCTGCGAGCCAAGCATTGCTGCCGTGCCCTCGGTCCACGTGAGCTGCGATGGGGCACGACTTCAGGCTGGGGTAGCTGGTCTTGGAACTCTTCACTTGCTGTGAAGAGCAGGAACAGCCTTTTCCAGCCCTCGTGGGCAGCTCGTTGCAGCAGGAGCTGCAGGAGGGATTTGCAGGCTGCTCCCTGCCCCAGCTGGGGTCACAGCAAGTCTGAGTATGCTGTGGGCCAACAGGTCTCTGGGGCTCGGGCTTGGTCTGAGCTATTGGGGGGGTCAACCTGTGGGCAGTTCTCATCTGGTGACTTACTGGGAGGCCGGGCTACCCATGTGGAAACTGTATCAGTGCCACCAAGTCACGCAGTGGCTCTGGGAGCTCAACTGCATCCTCTGCGAGTGATGCCAGCCATGCGCGTTGCTGGGAGAGCATATTGCCTTGCCTGGTGTTGCTGTTGGGAGCAACCTTCGGGACCCCTGGTTTTCTGCAGGGGGTTGGAAACTGTGGCCATGAAGTGCTCGCAGGTTCGCTTCCAGGCTGGCTTTCTGTTGATGCACGTGAGCTGGGCAGGAGCTTGACCAAAATGACTTGTTAGATCATGCTGCCTGTAATGTAGAAGAGGGGCTTTCACCTTGTGGCGTCTGTGCGCTCTTCCTACGGGTCTTGGAAAGGCTGTGAAGTTTCATGCTCCTAGCAGGAGACTTGAAATCAGTGCCTGCATGTTCACCTGGGGCTCTGCGGGTCAGGAGCTGGAAAGTCTCCAGGTCTTGGTGGAAACTCGTGGCCACTACCCTCTGGGACTCCCATCTCCCTTCCGTCTGCATTGCAGTAACAGGCCTTGCTCCCTCTCCCTTTCAGGTGGAGCAAGTCCCCTTACTGCAATGCAGAAGCTGCACAGGAGAGTCAATGTATTCCAGTTTATTGATTCGCTTTCCCAAAGTAAGGACAACAGGTATGAGATCAACGTTGAATGGTGCCCAATAAAAGGCAGAAGCCCTTGGAGCAGCAAACAAGCACTGGGTTAGTTGAGTCATTCATATTAGCCAGGCTTTACCCCATAGCCAACAAGCAAAGGCACCTGCCACATCTCAAGCTACCGCCTTTGACTGAGCGAGAGAAGGGGGCAGAAGCTGCCCCACGCCTCTGCCTGTCCCAGCTCTGCGAGGCCTCGGGCCGGGCGGCGAAGGCGGTGGCTGGCTTTGTGCCTCCACCTGGTGACAAGACGGGGTGTTGCATTGTAGCCTGCATAATTCAGTTTTATTTGGGGGACGGGGAGGGAAGGCACCAGGGAGGTGTTCTGGGTGGGGTGACGGGGATGAGCAAATCTTGCTCCTCTCCGGAAGGACAAAGCGTATAAATAGACATCTCTTCCTTTTCTCCTGACTTGCCTTTGTAGCGATGCGCGATGGGATGCTTGTCATATTATTTATCCTGCCTGCCTTTGCACTGCAGGCGGGATGCGCGCTGACTGGGGCGCCCTCAGGTCCCCGTGGGGTGGCTGAGCGAGCGGAGGGGCAGAGGCGCAGCTTTGCTTAACGTGAAGGATGCACCGAGTCAAAGGCCGCCTCCTTTGCCTCTTAACTGGATCGCGGTGTCGGTGGGGGGGATTTACCCTTCTCTCTTCCCCACCTCCCCGTCACGTAATCCACTTAATCCCCTGATGATAGGACTCTATTATTGTCAGCTCTGCAGAGCCAATATTGCTAACGGGCAAGCCGTCTCCTGCGTCTTGCATCAACAAAAGAGCTAGCCAAATCTAGAGCCTTGGTGCCTCCAGCAATGATCCTACAAAGCAGAATAAACACAGCTTGATTTAATAGGTATCCCGGTCTCCTCTTAGCACTGCCGCTTGAAAAACAAAACCTCTCATGTTTACACGTATTTAACAAATGTGGATAAACCTTAGAGCTTTTCTTACTGAAGGCAACTTTGGGAGCTGCCTGATGTTACCGGATCACGCTGCGGGTCCAGTTCAGCCGTTACGCTGCCCTGGCAGGGAATCCGGGATCTGGATGGGAGTGCCGGAGGGTGGCTGGGGTCAGGAGTCTGAGTCTGTAGCTGTTGTTTTAGGCATGTGCTGAGTCTTGGCTCTGATCCGTGCCCTCGAGGCCGCCATTGCAGAGTGGGATATGGTCGAAGAAAACCAGTGTTGAGGTTTTAACGTTGTGGAAATCTTTTCCTCGGCTCCTGTTGTGTAAGCAGCAGGGCTGAGGTTTTGCAGGTCCCTTCTTGGGACCGAGGGTGGGCTTAGGCCTGGGAGACGGACCTCTGGTTCCAGCTCCTGAATGCTGTGCAGTCTGCGTGGGGCTTGGTGTGTGGCTAAGGCTGTAGCGGCTTGATGCCCACCAGACCTCCTCACCACCCTTGGACAGTGCCTGTGCTTTCTCGCCTTCCCCCTGACTGGCTGTAGCCTACTTGAAGAAAGATAAACACACAGCGTCCCTTCTCCATTCCCTGTGTCAGTAGTCTGGGGCTAACCGCTTGCTATGGCACTGGGATCCCTTAAACCCGGCCCCGAACTACCTTATTTCCAGGGTATCTTAACGCAGAACCAGCCATTGGGAATGGAGGCATCTCCCGTCCCAAGGAGAGGTGGGTGGCAGCAGATGCTGCTGTTGACTCAAGCATTGCTCATTGGATCTGGAGTTGTCCAGTGGGCTGCAGGCAGCTGCACAAGTTGTGTTGTTCCCCAGGTGGTGGCCTCTCTCCCCAGAAGATCATGCTCTCCAGAAGATCACACCATTCCAAGGTGACGGCTTGTCCCACTTACCTTTTACTCTTGTTTCCTGCAGGGGTCCTGTCAGCTGGAGAGCACAACTTTCCCTTCCAGTTCCTGCTGCCAGGTATGGTGCAGATAAATGGCTGAAGGCACTTCCATGTAAGCCTTGGCTTTTGCAGCCTCTTGAGCTGTGCTGAGCAGGACTTGGGCTGCACAGCAGAGGCAGGCTGGCAGCTTGGCCTGGAGACACTAGAGGGGAGCGTAAGGTCAGCCCCAGACAGCCGAGGAGCTTAGACGAGCGGGTACCTTCTGCATTGGTGCAAAGCCAGGTCTGAGCTGTCGCTGTTGCCTCTCCAAGCATGACCCTGCGAGCCCTCTGGGTCTGCGCCAGGGTCCTGGCCTGTGGCTCGCCAGCCATCCTGCACGTAGTGCGCTCGGAGAGAGGCTCTCTGCTCTTGCGCCTCTGGTTGCAGAGGATCCCTTCTGTAAGGGGGCTGCAGCAAGGTCTCCGAGTGACCTAAGCCCCAGGTCTTTTTTGGGGGAATCTCCATGTGCTCTGTCTCTCGGGTACTTGCAGAACTCCTCAGGTGAAGAGGAAAGCTGTTTAAAGGGACTATACCCCCAGTTCAGAAATGCTTGGCCTGACTCAGCCTTGTGATCCTTTTTTCCTCTCTCAACTCCAGCCTCTGCTCCTACGTCATTTGAAGGCCCTTTTGGCAAGGTCCTCCATCAGGTGAAAGCTGTGATAGACACACCTCGCTTCTCCAAGGACTACAAGTGCAACAAGATCTTCTACGTTCTCTGCCCTCTCAACTTGAACGACATCCCTGACATCGAGGTAAGAACAAGGAGGAGCGTGGCTGGGAAGTGCCAAGGCCTCGGCACTTGTCCTTGTCCTGCGTGCTGTCTGGGAAATAATTGGGTGGTTGGACAGCTCTCTGACTGCATGCCCTGACTGTGCAAGAGCAGGGCGAGGACTCCTGATCTGTCCTGCCTTGCCATCCGTCCCTGCTCCCAGTGATTTTTGACTGTTCTGCATGTTGTTTTGAAAAATTTAAGTGCATTTTAAGCATGCAGAGAGAGGTGTTGGCCAATAGCACCAGGTGCTTGTAGAGACCTGGGTTTGGGGAACTTGTTTTGGAAGGAAGAGCGACTAACAGGACAGCAGAAGTGAGACCTGTTGTCTGTGGCAGCGCTGTGTTGCTGGTTCTTTGCGTCCTCTTAGACCAGATATTTCTGCTTGCTTGTTTTGAATCTCTGTGTGTTTTCCTGGAGGCTCTCTGACTCTCTTGAGCCAACATCTCTGTCTCTCTGCTGTCCTGCAGCAGCCCAACACTATGTCAATCACCAAGAAGTTCAACTACAAGCTGGTGAAAAGCGGCAACATTATCTTGACCGCCACCTCGGATCTGAAAGGGTACATCGTGGGGCAAGTGATCCAGCTCCGCACGGACATCGAGAACAAATCGGGCCGGGACACCGGCGCTGTGGTAGCCAGTCTGCTCCAGGTAAGCATTCGAAAGGGCGATTCTTTGGCTTGTGCTGGTGCTCCACACCCCGAGGCCTCTGTGGAACTGGGGCAGTTCTCACCAGTGTGCATCGCTGCTGCGTGCGGCTGGGAGGTGGCAGCAAGGAGTCCAGACCTCTGGCTAACTCTGTTTCTCTCTGCCTTCCTGGGGAAAGAGGTGGTAGAACTTGTCTTGCTTGTACCAGCTCAGTCTATCATATAATGGTGGGTGTTTCTGCTCTGTAATATGCACGTTACGTTTGTGCTCGTGCTTATTTGACAAAGCAGTTGGGTGGTTTTGTGTCCTGACAGAAGAGAGACAGAAGACCATCTGCAATCTTTCTGCTAGCTGTATTTTCTCCTGTCTGTACAGAAAGTGGCTTATAAATCCAAGCGCTGGATTTACGACCTGAGGACCATCGCAGAGGTGGAAGGCTCAGGAGTGAAAGCCTGGAAACATGCAGAATGGAAGGAGCAGATCCTCGTTCCGGCACTGCCCCAGTCCATTCTGCAGGGCTGTAGCCTCATACATATCGACTACTACATCCAAGTGAGTACATCAGTGATCCCAGGGAGCTCCAGCGGGCTGCGCTGCAACTTCTGCGCTCCCTTCTGGGTTGAGCTCAGACGTTGAACTCCGTAGCTGTCTGATGCGGGTGGCCCTCCCATCGGGTGAACCTTCCCAGTGCAATGTATAATGAAGAGGATGCCGCTGTTTTTCTTCCTCTTCCAGGTTTCCCTCAAGTCGCCAGAGGTTTCGGTCACTCTCCCCATTTATATTGGTAACATTGCTGTGAACAGGGTGCCTCTGAGCCCCTCCCGGTCCATCCAGCACATACCGTCTGCAGTGGTACCCAGTGCCCCCCCGGAGGAAGAGGAGGCTGCCAGCGGCTATCACCCGATGGACAATGTCTCAATCCCCACCAAAAGCCATTCCCAGCAGCAGCCATTTAGCTACGCCCCAGGACTGAGCTTCCAGGAGATAAGGGTGGACTCGGAGCAGACGGGCTCCCCAAACCATCCCACGCTCTGCCTGTCGACGGGAGCCACTGTCCCTTACTACGCCGAGGGGAACGTGGTGCCCGTCCCCACGGCCAGCTCTCTCATTTTGCCTCCGGAGTACAGCACGTGGGGCTACCCCTACGGTGAGCAGCCCGCTCCCGGGATCTGAATGGGCTGGCAGCGTGGTAGCAAACGTCTCCTACCACAGGAGTCTCTTTGCTAGCTGTGAACTGGGTGGGAACACAGGGACGTCAGCCTGCCGGGGGCTGATGTCAGAGGGGATCATGAGATCTCTCTGCCTGCTTTAGCCTCTGGAGAAGTCCCCTCTTACAGCTGTAAAAGCCGGCTGTCTGTTCCCACGTCTACACCCGTGCCTGCCCTGGGCTCGTTGTGAGAGGATCTCCCTGTTCTTAAATGAGCTTTCAGCCTCCCACTGATAGAAAAACTTCTTGGCTTGTGGTGAGGCTGGTGGGAGCCGAGCCAGGAAAATGATGTAACTGAAATCTTCTGTCTGACTTGGAGTGGGCCTGCAGCTGGTCTGAAGACACGGGCTGTGGGGGCGGGAGCTGAGAGACTGTCCAGGGTGGAAAAGCTTGGGAAATCCCAGCATGCTGGATTCCTGGAGCCGTGCTTGTCCCAGGTGGCTGGGGTGGCAGGGACCAGCGGTGTCTGTTAGCACAGACAGACTCTTAGCACAGTCCTCCCCAAATGAACCCGTCTGTTAGCCCTGGGGTAAGGAGGCACTCGATGTGTCGCTTCAGCCCTGGCTTGGGGTACACGGAGCATGGGTCACCTGTGATCCGGAGGTGTTGGAGCCCATGAGGATGCTTGTGAAAGAAGGGTAGGAACAGAACAGGACTTTGAGGTGCTGATTTTTAACCCCCGTAGGCATCAGGACAGGGATGGGACTGGCTGGCTCAAATTCTGCGTGTGCACGTGCAAACCCCATATATTTCAGCGGGGCAGGTTGTAGGGTCCTGGAGAGAAGGATGCCTGCGTGTGACACGCGTACACGTTAGCAGTTTGCTTTACTCCGCGCCGAGTTACGTAGACTGGGGTGAAGGGAACTCACCATAACCGCCCTTATTCTTTTTCTCCCCGGCAGAGGCACCTCCGTCCTATGAGCAGAGCTGCAGCAGTGCCAACTCCAGCATCAGCAACGGCAACTAGCCTCCCCTGCTTGAGTCCCGCTGGCGTTGCCCACCCCCAGGCGCCGCGGTTCACCTGCCTGCTGCAAAGTCTGGTACAGCACAAGGCGTCTTTTTATCTCTCTGGCTGCTTGGTGGGGTAAATGGCACATCCTGGCCTGGGCTTTTTAAGTCTCTTTCTAGGGAGGGGGTTAAAAAAACCAAAAAGGGCAGCCAGAGCAGCCTGCGCGTGCGTGTAGGAGAGGTCTGGGAAACTGAACCGTCTCCTCCTGCTGCACCAAGTGCTGGGGAACTGGTTTTGCCCCAGGGATGCCCTCTGCAGCAGCCTGTGTTTCAAGTACTGTAGTCAACACTAACTGCTTTACTATCAAAGCACCTGCGATGCCTTATCTGAAATGCTCCTGACTTGGCATGTCTCCACTGTAGGTGAAGGCTGGGCTGTGTGGACTTTCTCTTCTCTTTTAGGGGCCACGTGCTCTCCAGAAATGGCTTTGGCAGCCCTTCCTCCTTGTCCTCGTAGGTCCTAAGGGTAGCTGAAACAGGAGGTTTCTTGGAGTAAGCAGGTTCAGAAGGTCAGGGACTCTTAAAAAGCCAAAAGCACAAGCCCTTGCTATACCTGTGTTGTGGGGAGAGTGACCAGCAGCCTTTGGCCCTCTCGCAGTGGGCCACACCACTGCCTGCATGTGGTGAGAGGAGAGCAGGCTCCGGCGGCGGGGAGCTCGCTGCGGCACTTGCTCGTAACCCAAGAGGCCCTGGTGAGCTGTGGAGGCAGAGCCGGGTGTTACCGTGGGGTGCCCGCCAGCCAGCTTCTGGCCTTTTTCAGCAAGGGCAACTTTCCTCTGAAAAGCCCTGTAGGAGGCAGCCCATCCTCGCTCGCTGCTGCACCGCAGCACCCCGGGTGAACAGCGCTAGTCAGTCTGCAAGCGGGGGGACCAGATCCCCTGTGTCCCATCTCCCACCCCTGCAGGGTGCCCTCTCCATCCCAGGTGCCGCTGCCTTTGGCAGGCCAGAATTACATGACAATCAAGTTACAAAAGTCTGTCCAATGCTACCTCTGAGTCTGCCCAAGGACCCTGTCCGTGGAAGCCCTTCCCTCCGGGACGACCCTCCCGCGAGGCTCAGCCTGGCCAGCGGTCAACGCTGCCAAGCCAGGGCGCGAGGGCGCTTGGCCTGGGGACTCTTCTCTCCGCGAGCCGGTACTGGTTTACCGCTTGTCTCCCGAGCCGCCTCTTGAGCCACGGCAGGATGCGAAAATGAGTGAGTGGGAACACAAACTGCTACGCCTCGTTCGCAGCCTCCGCTGGACCTGGCAGGTCGGGGGAAGAAGCTGATGGATGTAAAACAGCGTTTTTCTTTTGTGCTTTTTTTTACCCCCCCTTGTTTAGCTTTTTTACTATTGACTGCCCAAGCTGAGGAAACCACAAACCAGATACTTAAGAGCCGTGGGCATCCAGCCACGGCTGAAATGGTGGACTGCAGACCTTTGGCACCTCTGAGAATTGGTCTCGGTGCTGCCTCACGCTGGGCGGGCAATATCTAACAAACCTGTTAGGAGCACTACAGCCTCTGCCTCCTCATTTTAGCCCGCCTCCGCACACCCCTGGCAGGCAGCTGGGGACAAGCCCTGCTTTGCACTCTTTCTTTGCAAATGCTTTTTATTTTATTTTATTTTTTTTTTAAGTGTTGAACTGCTTTAAGGTTAGTGTAGAGAAGGTGCTGTTCTGAGCAGTGCTGGCACAACATGCACCAGTGTTGATAGAATGATTGTCATTGTCCCTGAATATATATATATATATATATAAGATGAAGTTTTCTTTTTGCTGATTGAATTCATAGATAAAAATTTTAATGCTGTATTTAATAAATTATTCTAAGAGAAATGCTGTGCTTTTTCATCCATTTCTGATGCTTGTCCATGTGCCTGTTCATGCCAAATCCAGGAATGCACCTTGCTGGTTTCTTACAAAATGAAGCAAGTTGTTTGCTCGCACCAGGAAGGATGGGGACTTCTGCCAAGGCAGCTCGGGGAAAACGAGCGCGGAGCAGCCTGACGGCGGTGCTGGGCTCGTAGTTCCAGCTGGTTGGAGGGAGTTTGGCACCAGGTGGGCTCGGCTCTGGAGAGAGCAGCCACGGTACTGCTGCTTCCCCGGTGCCGTGTCCCGAAGCCGTGGTTTGTCCAAGCAGCCCGTGGGTCTGGGGCCGTGCTCCCTGCTGTCTGACTGGAGAGCTGGGCCGGGGAGAGGAAGGGGAGAGCGGACTCTCCCTTCAGGAGGATGGAGGTGGAACAGCCAAGGTCTGGCGGGAAGGGCTGAAGACCACCAGCCCATGCCCTCTCCTAAAGAGCCAGTTGGAATAAACTTATTAAAAATGGAAGAAGGCTCCTCCCCACACCCACAGTTTGGTGATACCATGTCTGAAGCACATAGGTGTTGCCTAAATGTTGTCGCTGTAAGTAGCCTGAGGTGCGGTCTGTGTCTCAGACACGAGGATGCTTCTTCACCCTCTGCTCAACTTAGGCTTCTGCCCAGCTTTTACTGTTTAAGACTCTCCTTTGCCTGGTGGTCTGTGCCTGCCATGAAAAGCATTCTTGATACGCAGGGAGTCAAAGGCAGGTGCTTGTTCGTTCATCTCTTCCCCAGGGCTCTTCCTCTGCCTCCCAGTTAGTTGAACCCATTTTCCCTGGCTCAGCCCGTAGCTCCTGTCGCCTTCCTTGCTGTCGGCAGTACGTCTCCCTCCTTTCAAGCCTCAACCCAAATCCCTTCCACACCTCTGGAAAAATTGCTGTGAGCTGTCAGTGCTGGGTTGGGCTACGGGCTCCTGACCCAGCCGGGGCCTGGGAGAGGCAGCCTGGGCTGGGCCGGGGTTCCCGGTTCCCTGTTCTCCATCCCTGAACCTGAGCTGCTGGTGATGTGTCCAGCCCGCGTTCCTTGGCTGGAAAACTTGGATACTGTTTGGTTACTGTGGCCAGAGCCGCTGGGCTGCCCTTCTAGACCCCAGCCATTGTCTGTTGTCCTTGTTTAACCTTCACAGTTGGGAACGCACTGTTCGTGGCAGAGACTGGGGAGAGGAGAGGCCAGCTCTATCTCACACAGCTCCTGTGTTGGGCCCCGCGTCTCTGCGGTGCTCCTGTGCCCCTGAGCTCGCTCTCCCAAATTATATTTGCTACAAACTGGTCCTTCAGCACCTCTTGCTATACGTGGAGTCCCTTTTGCAAAGCAAGGAGCAAGTGGGCACACTCGTCTCCACCGGTGAGGAGTCTCCATCCCCACTGGCTGCTGCGCAGGGAGCAGGGAGGAGTTGGAGCTAGACCTCACGGTGGTCCTCCTTCTTTTGCACAGCCCCTGCAGAGAGAGGCCTCTCTCGGGCCTGCGAGGCGGCTCTGGCCGGGATGCAGCGGGGTAGCACCGTGTTTGTCTCTGAGCGACCTCGCTGTTGTGCAAGCGGACAGAAATAACTGGCAAAGCGCTGTGGTTTTCAGCGCTCCTGCCCAGCCCCGCCTGGCCCCCAGCGCTGCGGCAGGGAATCGAAGCCTGGCGCAAAGAGCCGCCTTCACGTTTCCCGGGCCCCTTTGAAGCGGTCCAGGGCTGCAGGACGGAGGAGTTAGTCCAGCTCTTCTCAAACCTACCCGCAGCGGTGGCCGCAGGGTGCGATGGCAGCGAGGTCCTCGGGGTATGCGAGTACTTTGGATGAGCACGATGGGGCTAAAACCAATGTTTGGGCATGAGCGTGGTCCCCTCTGGAGAGGGCAAGGGGACGGTCCCTCCGTCCCCCGCCTCGCTGCTGTCTCTCTTTGTACCCCCTCTGGCTTCAACCTCTTAAGTCCTGGGGAGCTCCTGTAGGCCCCGGGTCTTGCCTCTCTCCTCCTTCTGAACTCTGGAATAAAGAGGAAAAAAACCCATTTTTTTTTTCCAAACCCAGTTCTGGGTAAAAAAACTTCAGCACGCGGGAATTCATTCAAATTTCTGGCTCAAATTTTTTAAGCAATTGTTCTTTGGTTTTGTTTGAAATGGGGCGGGGAAGTGGTGGGGCGCGAGCGAGCTAATTGTTTCCAAACTCAGCATTCAATGGAAAATCCCCAAAATATCATCTCTCCTTTTTTTTTTTTTTCCTGCTGCTTCTTTTTTGTCCTTCACAGCTTTGTTCTTGTCCCGCTCTCCACATGTGCCACCTCCGTATGTTTGGCTTTTTCAGTGTTGTTTGTGTCCTGCTAAACTCCGCTTGGGCACCTGTCGTCCCACTGCCCGCAGGAGATGGGGAACGGGGAGACGGGGGACACGAAGGCTCTTCTTGTTGGATGGTGACTCTTTTTTAGCTTTCCACTGAACTTTCAGTAGTTTTGTAAAATTAAACATTTTCTGCTCGGAAGTTTTCCTGTTGAGCCAGCACAAGAGAGGAGATAAAGGGTGTTCTGGGGTCCGTTTGTTTTTTATTCTGTATTTTTAAATATTTCCAGCTATCTGCAACAGGAATGTCCCATCCCTCCTCCCCAAGAGAGACGGGTGGGGTAAAACCCTCAAAACTTGTGCCCTTTCTTGCACCAATACTCGTGGCTGTAATTCTGTATTCCTGTGGTTCTCTGTACAGATCTGGGGGGTTTATACAACAATATTTGTGATGGCTCTGTACAACCTGAGACTTCTGCGCAATTTATTACTGGGTTTTAAAATGTAAACTAGCAGTTTTACATGTTTACCACGGCTTCTGGGCAGTATTTTTGTCCTGGGTTTTAAACCACAAAATGTAAAGAACTGAAAAATGTAAATAAAGCTCTCCTTTTTTAAGACCATGGGTGCTTTTGCTCGGGGTAAATGTGTGATGAGCGCCGTCTGTACACCGAGAGCTGCCGGGAGGGCCTGGCACAGCGGGCCAGTGGCTCCTGGCTTTCAGAGGAGGCATCCACATCTAGAGATGAAGCTCAAAAGCTGATTTATAGCCAACGCTAAAGCAAAGCCACATCTCCTCCGGCTCAGCGGGGGACCCGTTGGGGTGGGAAGACAGTGGTGGGGTGATCTAAGCTGTCCC